AGAGGGGGGGGAGGGGAGAGAGAGAGAGAGATCATATTACAGAGCACATAAGAATAATATTTACCACATATAGTACGAAAATACCGGAATTTCATTTTTATATGCAGAAATTGTACGTACACGTTCAAGATCGTAGCTGGAAAAATATCAGACATACGAAAATATTATTATAGGTTTGCGTCGCATACTTCAGCATGCACCTATCGAGGAGACGCTGTAATATCTCCAGCCATGTGTTTAAAAGATAAGAGACTTATATAGTGTCCGAAAGTAATCTTGCACATTACTTGCATTTCCGATGCCGGTTGCTATGTCGGTTAAAATGAAATAATTTGTGATAGCCGTTCGGGCTATAACACTTCATATTCGCTAAGAGCAACTCTTTCTTCCAACTACTTCTTCTTCTTTTCTTTTTCGATTACTAATAGCGGTTAAACGCTAGAAGTTGTCAAGTATTCCAAAATTTTGGTAGATGGTCAAACGCAAACATCGGGTGGGACGTCGCAAACGAGAAAAACTCGAAACCCTGGGGATTTCATGCAACGCAAACAGACCAAATATTATCCTCTAATATTTGGCGGTCTGGAAGGCGGGTAGCCCCGGACATACTTGTTAAAGTATGTCCAATGGTCTAAGTGTTTCTTGGCTTTGCAAATGTCACAGTAGTAATAAATATTTGATGGGTCAATGTCAACATAAGCTTCATGAGCCCAATCTTTGCATTTATGGCATTGGACCCAGTCTTCTTCAAATATTTTCCCACATATGATACATTCTGATCTATCTTTAACCGGATCAAAGTTTTCCGCTTTGCCTCTGTAACCAGGTGCAAGCTTTCGAATCTCCTCTTGCGAGTAAACTCGTTTTGCTCCCATTTTTTATTCCTTTGACTTGCGTCTGGAATATTTAGCATCAGCTACAATCTTCGTTAGAAACTTGGGTTAGAAGAAAAAGATAAAGAAGGGATTACTCGTAGCGATTTACCGCGTCGAGTAATGATAGCAAATGAAGAAAGTAGAGAAAGTTACTCATGGCGATTTACCGCTTTGAGTAATTATGACAAGAGTTGTAAAAAAAAAAAAACAAATTGATTATTAGAAAAAAAAGTTTTTTTTTTATTCAATATTTTATTGATTATTTTTACTTATACTTACCGGTCGCAAATGTACTTTTGCCCATGATGTTTATTAATTTACGTGCTGACGAGGTGGGACAGATTTTTTATCCACACGAAATGACCGTGCGGATACACCTAGTATCATATGGTAGTACACTCTCGTCAGAAGAGTCAATGTCCATTACGTCTTCAAACTTCGCATTTATTACAATTTCTTGCACAATGTTCCCGAGATCTTCGGGATCCATGTTACGGATATTGTCAATTACTCTATCCATTGTATACTCTTATATCTTAATAGGACTGATTCGAGACGTCTACTGCGACACAGCGCGCTTACGACCCTTTATATATTTCATTCGCCACTTCTTTGTCCCTTTGTCTATCCCTACTGACCTCTCCATGTCACCGATTTTCCTAGAAATGCATCTCGAAAGCGTATATTAATTTAATACTTGTTTTGGAGGATCACTTTCGTTTCCTGTGATACAGTTTCGTTCACACTGAGAAAAATGTCTCGAAAAAACACAATAAGATTAACATGTGCGAGACTTTATTATATTGTATAATCATTACAAGGAACAAGTTTATTATAATTCGGATCGAATGGAACAATTTAATTAACAATAATCAACACGTACAATCGTTTTAATGTATAACAATGACAAATGTAGTTATTAGTTTCTATCATATATATATATATATATATATATGTGTGTATATTTGGATAATTTTGTAATTGTAACACCACTGATGATGGCCATATTGAGGCCATCTAAGAAGCACTAAATTTTTTACCTATTACAAACTTGATTTTCGATGGTGGTGGGTGCAGCTTGACAGACGTAGGTTAAGCTTAACCACAAGTTAACCAGATAATGAAAGATCGCGCCTTAAAAGGGAAAAAGCAAAAAGCGAAGGAATAGCATGATAAAAAAAACAAAAGAAATTAAAAATGTTCATTGAGATAAGGCTCAATATGTTTTTAAAAACAAATAATATAGAGAAAGAGAGCAATGAGCCAATAATATCGTTAAAATCTTTAAATTATAATCTAATATATTGCGAAGAATATCACGTAATTATGGCGTTTCGTCCCAGCTTCCACTACTGGACTCATCAGTAAGGTATTGTAGTGGAAGCCTACCTTAGACGCCTGTTTAAGTTATTAGATCGAGAATCTATATATTCAGATATACGCGTATCCAAGCACTTGCGAGAATTTTTGCGAATATCTATAGACCTCTGATGGCGAGTCGACGTAGTAATATTCTTCGCAATATATTTATTCAAAGTAATATATGTATTACCCTCCCACCCCCCCCAACTTGCGCGCCGAACAATCGTCGGTCTTGAAACGCAACTCTTATCTGAAAAAGAAATTAAATTCCGCATAGGAGACAAGGTATTACTACACGACGAAACGTTACGTCGTGGACGATCGAAAAAATTAGACGCGCTATGGCAGGACCATACGTGATATTACAAAGGAATTCAGATGTTAATTATACGGTTAAAGTAGGACGGAAAAATTTACTAACGCACGTAAACCGCCTTAAATTATATATAAGGAAATATAAATTATATATAAGAAAATTAAAATTAAATAATAATTATGAATATAACAATAAAATAATACGACTCACCTATGAAGATAATTAGCTTAATCCAACATAAAAATGCACATAATTATTTATTATAGTAATAACTGTTCACTACTGCACTAATAATAATGATATAAAAAGTTATATAAAATAAAAATAAGTTTATAGTCCCGATTAACACTATGGATGAACACCACGGCCGCGTCCCTGCCAAAGTTCCCCCCTAAAAATTATTAAAAATTGGGACACCGTGTCCACGGCCGCGTCCCTGCCTAAGTTCACCATCAGAAAAATTATTAGAAATTGGGACACCGTGTCCACGACCACGAGTAAGACCACGTCCGCGATCTGCGACGGGAGCAGCTCTACCAAGTCCGAGCCCCCCGAAACGCTCTCTAATAACGTCTCCCGCGAGATGCTGTATAAAAATTTGCTGTGGAGCCTCCGGCACCGCTCCATCAACATGTAACTCAGGATGTTTCGATTTAATATCCTGTATTACTACACGACAAATTTGTGGAGCCACCGCTTCATCAACATGAAGATGAGAATATTTTGTTTCAATATCACTACCTATTTTACTACACAATTATAAATATACTACACAATTCACTACACGATCTTGACCGAATGAAACGTGAGAAGCTACTCACGA